TTCTATCTGATGATTAGTCCCTCACTGGCGCTCAGCAAGTCATTGTTGAATACAAAAGGTGGGGACCTATACCTGTCTTTTTCATCTCTGTAACCCCAGCACCCTGTGCAAGGTCCACTCAGAGGATATTTGTCGAAGGCTTACTATGTTCAAGCTTCTGTTAGCCATGCTGCATACACTGTCTCAGTTAATCCTCACAACAACCCTCCACGTTATAGATTAGGAAACAGAAGCCCAGAGAGGTTGTGTAACTCACCCAATGTCACACAGGCAGTAAATAGCTGTGTCACGATCAGTTTCCAGGTCTTACCTTGTAGTGAGCTGAACGGTGACCCCTCAAAATTAAGTGTGACTGATATAGCCTGGTTCACATCTATATCTTAACCCCTGGAACCTGTGAGTGTGATCTTATTTAGATCAAGATGCGATCGTACTGAATTAGGGTGGGCCCCAAATCCAATGACGAGTATCCTTAGAAGAGACACACAGAGAAGGCAGCAATACGAAGGCAGAGGCAGAGATGAGAGTGATGTGGCTACAAACCAAAGGTCAAAGGTCGCCTGCAGCCACCGGAAGCTAGGAGGGAGGCATAAAACGGATTCTCCTCCAGAGCCTCCAGAAGGAACTAACACCTTGACTTCAGACTTCTGGCCTCCAGAAATGTGAGAGAATAACTTTCTCCTGTTTTAAGCCACTTAGTTTGTTAATTTGTTACGGCAGCCCTAGGAAATGAATATAGACCCCAAACCACATGGCAAGGTACCTGTGCCTCCTGCCAAGGCGGGAAGGGAAGGGCCCCTTGAATCCCAGGCTGTGTGACTGTGGCCTGCTCACTTGCCTTCTCTGGGCCTGATTCTCTGTAGCAAAAGAAGCACTTGGGACTCCAAGTGTCCCTCCATTCTACAACCCTAAGAAAAACCATGAGCCAGGTAAGCGAGCCTCTGTTGGGATTTTCAAATTTATTCCAACGTGCTGTTTTTTTTTAAAAAATATCCTCAGGCTGAACACTCAGCCAGAGCTGTAATAAAGGCAATTATTATACTTGTAAAAACTTCTCATTCACAGTACAGATGTAATTTACAACAAAGGTCACACACATCAATACTGAGCAGTTTTTTCCTTTTGTACATCAGACTCTGTGCTTTAGACCTGCAGGATTTTTTGTTGAGATTTTTTTTTTTCTTTTGCACTGATATATACCATACCAACATTGCAAGATGCAAGTGGAGAAACTGGAGTTTAAATAAAATTACAGGCAAAACTACCCCATCCCAGTGTGGTTGCTGTACATATCTACAGTACGATTTTTGGAATGTATTGCCATTTAAGAACATAGAAACTCTCTACAGACAATTTCACATACAGAATACATACACCTTTTAGAAAAAAAAGGCAAATTTTTATCTTACAGAGAGCGTGTATCTTACATTTGCCTATACGTTTCTTTTTTCAGTTTCTTTTTTCTTCCTTTTTTAACACTAGGTTTAGTAAAGTGATCATAAGTGCCGAAGCGGTTTTCCGATGGAAAGCGGATGGGATTCTCAATGCAGAAGCAAACTTGGTGGAACAGGTCTTTAGGAACCTTCTCCCCTTGGTCAGTGCTGCGGATCTGTCTCCATGGATGGCTGCCCAGGGAGGACTTTTGCTTTAAAGAAGATTTGCCTGGAGAAAGGACTAGAGAGCAATTCAGCTCTGTTATCTTGCTTGTTCCTATTCAAAAGGGCCCGGTGAGGATGGAGCATGAGTAAGAGGGGTCCGGAAACTAATTCTTTCAGACTTTTTCGAGGAGGGACTGCTGGGTCTGGAAGTTGGAGTTGATGGAGGTGGGAGAGTGGGAAGTTCACTGCTGTCAGCCTCCTGGAGGGTCGCAGTGGTTGGGGCTTTGGCGGGGGGAGGGGGAGTAGGCTTGTAAAAAGGCGCCTTGGAGAGGAGCAAGGTTAGTACCCAAAATGGCCCTGAGCTTGCTAAGGGTGAAGGGCATCCTGGAGGGTAGCCCTGGGGGGCAGGCGCCTTGGAATCCCCAAGGCAAGGGCTGGCTCTGAAACCTCGGCAAGTTGGCCCACACCCCCCAACCCTGCCGACACCCGAGGACCACAGCAGGCCTGTATCAAGGAATGGCCATCTGGCACATTTCAGCAGAGCACATGACAGGTGTCCGTGCCAACAAAGCAGCACTGCTTTCTCTACCGTGTCCCTTAACAGGGACAACAGGGTCACAGGCAAGCTGTAAATGTGCTAAGTGGTTGGGAGCAGGGCAGTGGGTCCCGGGGTAGGGGGTGGGGGAGAGTGTGGAGTGAGAGTCTTTTCTACATTATGAGGGTGGGTGTGTAGGCTGGGAGCTCTGTGCTTGGGGGAGCCGGAAGAGAGGCTGGCAGAGGGGCTTAGAGCCATGCTCAGTGACACACGGCCAGGGCTGGTGGCCTCAGTTCCATTCCTCTGGGCACCTGTGTGGGGCAGTAGCCCTTTGGCCAGATTGCTTGCACAGTGTGTCTCTGTCATTGAGAAATGGCTCCCCAGTGACTCCCGGCCCCCCATCCCCTCTGCCCGTGCCTGTGAGCCCCAGTGGCGGTGAGGACTCTCCCCTGCTGGCCACACGGGCCATATGACTAGGCCTCCAGCTTGGGCTGGGCTGTCTGAATACAGGGGGGGATGACGCCCAGGAGAGCTGGGGCGCAGGGCTTGGGGGAGGGGCCTGGCCACCCCGAAGGTCACGGGTTAGTCTAGCAGAGCCCAGTCTGCTGCTTTGTAGGTCTGGGGCTGGAAGATCTGGCCCAGGAATATTTCAAGGCTGGGCTGAAGCAATGCCCTTTATCCAGCTCCCAGACCTCAGTGCTTGAAGTCTCCAGTCTTCGGGCAGCCCCCTGGGGTGGGGCCGGAAGGTAGTGATGAGGAAAGCCCTGGCCTCTGGCCTAGGCTGTGACTGGGGCTCAGGCTCCTTCCCACCTGCTGCCAGACCTGACCAGTGCCAGTTCAGCCAAGGCTGGGCTCGTTAGCCTTCCTCCGGGGGGGCCAGGAGCCCCAGACTCTGGGTCAGACAGCCAGGAAGTGCTGGCTAACCCCACCCCCTGTACCCTGGAGCCCAGCAGACCCCCAGGTAGGCCCTTCCCTATTGTCCCCTTTTTGTCTTAGCCAAAGTGAAATGAACTAGGTGGTCTGGCTGGAGGCTGACCTGTGGCTGGTTTGTCCTGGCAGCAGAGGCCAAGCAGGGAAAGGTCCTGAACGGGCAGAAGAGGGAATTATGCCGGAGGGCGGGAAGCTCACAGAAGTGCCCCAGCCCTATGCACCTTATGGTGTCCTGTCTAAACAACAGCTCAGGAGCCCCTTATGGCCGCACGATTCATGCAGCCTGCCTGAGGAATGGGGACTGGCCAAGGAGGTCTCTGCTCTGCAGCATTAGCACCTAGCCTAGCTGGGCCATGACCGTGGTCCCTATGCTTTCTCCCCCTGGTAGAAACTAAAGAAAATGATTTCTGGATATTGTGGAAAACCCCACCCATCCCAGGGCTGGGTAAACATGCTAGAGTTCAAGTTCCATATTTCAATTTGGGATTTTAATTTCTATTCTTTTTTTTTTTTTTTTAACAAAGCAGGCTTTTGCACCAGGAAACACAGGGCAGCTTCGTAAAGGAGGAGATGGGGATGAGGAAGGAGGCACTAGCTCTTACTGATTGCTTTGGAGAAGAATTCAAATGACCTTGGACAATAGGAGGCTAGGGGAAATATCAAACACCAGGTTTATATATATATATTTAATTTTATTTTTTAAAAGAGATTTAAGCCAACCAATAGGAGGCCTGGGCAGTTCCCACCAGTCATGGTTTTGGGTACTTCCTGGGGGTAGTGGAGACCTGATGGTGTGTGGGATGGGGACAGGGGGACCAGTCCTGCTGCAAAGAGGTCCAGAAATGAGTCCTTGCAAACTTCCAGTGCTGAGCACAGGAAAAGCCCAGCCATGGAGGAAATAGGGCCCTTTGTACCCCAGGGGCCAAATGTAAAATGAAGCCCGAGCCTGGCCTCAGGAATGGCAAAGGCAACGCACCTTGGATCTTGACCCCCAGGGGTTGGGCCCTGTCACTTCAGCCTTGTGGGTAGTTTCTAGAACAAGGACGGCAGCCAGTGGCTGGGACCCTGAGAGCAAGGCCGAGGTCAGGTGCTCAGGAACCAGGAGATGGATGGTCAGGAACTCCTTTCCCAGCCCAGACAGAGGGTGAGGGTGCAGTGAGGAGCAGAGGTGCTGGGCCAGGGGGCAGGGGGATTTGTCTACCCGTCAAGTGCCAGGATGAGATCGTGACGCAGGCCACCTGGACGTCTGGGAGTCCTGGGGAACCAACCAGCTCCTACCTTCTACCCGTTCCAAATATTTTGTGTTGAAGTCCTAGGAAAAAGAAAGTCGGAGTTTTCTGGGCCTGCCCGTGGAGTCTCCCTGCCTGTCCCTCTGCCTCGGGCTGCTGGCCCTCCTGCTGGCAGCCGGGGGAGGCCACTAGCTGGGGTGGGAAAAAGCAGCAATAAATAGGAACCATAAACAACTGTACATAGGAGTGCTTGCTTTTACATTTAATTATATATATATTTAAAGTTTCTTTTTTTCTCTCTCTCTGCTTCAGTGCATTCCCCTTTCTCTTAGCAACTGACCGCCTCTTGCCAGCCTTGGGGGGTGGCTGCTAACCCCAGTGGCCCAAGGTGAAGCCCCACCTAAATATTCACAGCCTCAAATACCTCGTGGGGTTTTTTAATGTGTGTGTGTGTGTGTGTGTGTGTGTGTGTGTGTGTGTGTGTGTGTGTGGTTTGTATCTTTTCAAGCAACAAAAGGTCACAGAAAAAGGCACAGGTAACTGCATACATGGTGGGAAGATAAGACAGACGGGGGCTGAGCAGAAGCTTCTTGGACAGAACAACAGATGGGACAGGGAGCCCGTGACAGCAAGATGATTTGAGTAAGTCGGCTGGAAACGTCTGTTGCCAAACACCGGAAGCCAGATGCTGAAGCCGTCGGGGAGAGGCTAAGTGCTCCGGGGCCCCCGGTCCTCGGGCTGGTGTGGGGGTGCCCTGGGCCCCCCACTTCCCGAGGCCTCGGGGGAGCCCTGACTGGTCCTGGGTTCCCCGGAGAGGTTCCTCCTCCGGGCTGGGAGGCGAGCGGAGGCCTCAGCCAGGCAGCCCACGGAACTGCTGCGGTCCAGCGGCGGGGTGGCAGAGGCCGAGGGGTTGGCTAGCGCACGCGGTGACTCCAGGCGGGGGCTCCGGGACCCTGCCCGGCGGCCCTGGGGTGGCCGGGGCGAGGCCTCGGGTGGGGTGCGGGGACTGTGCGTGGGCACGGGCTCTGCGGGCACCTCGGCTGCGCGGGGCTCCCTGTCAGGAGGTCTGCCCAGGCCCCTGCTCGTCCTGCCCCTCTCCTTGGGGTAGTCCCTGGCCTCCAGCTCCGAGGAGAGTGTGAATTTGGAGACCTTAGCCACGGGGGACACGGAGGCCGATGAGCTCTCAGTGGGACTCCAGCGGGCTCTCTCCTGGACCTCCCGGGCCCCCGTCAGGTCGCTGCCACCCCCTGAGAAGCCGCTGACCCAGGCCGTGCTGGGCCCGGGGAGCAGGGTGGGGTGGGCCCCCGGCCGGGCCTGTACCATCTGGATCCCGCCGATGGGAATCAGGGGGCACGGGGCGCGGGTCAAGTGCTGGGAGTGCAGAGGCAGGTGGCTGAAGATGTTCTCCTCTGTCCGGGCCGGGGTGTGGCCGTGGAATTCATGGGGGGTGGAGAAGGGTCGGGAGAAGAGAGGATGAGCAGGGCCAGGTGAACAGGAGGGACTTGGCGACTCGGCCTTCTGCTGGGGTCAGAAAATAAGACAGAGTAAGGCGAGGATTATGTGCTGGGCACACGGAGACCCCAAGGCCTAGAGTGAGGAGGGGACTCGCTGAGATCACAGAGCAAGTCCTGGCTGAGCTGGTCCAGAACCGAGTCCCAACCCCTGCCTATGGTGTTGCCCTGTGTGGGCGCCCTCTCTGGAACGGTGACCATGGGTACACTCAGGACATGATCCCCTGCCTCCAACCAGCTTGTCTGTCTTCTGAGGACGGGGCTGCCTGGTTGGCCCCTATGCACCTGGCCCTCTGTCTCGGTTCTGCGGCTTCTCTTGTTCCTCAAGTGGTACTGACCCAACTTAACCCTAGAACATGAGTTCCCACTCCAGGCTCTTGGCCTTCTCCCACCTCCGGGAATTTTCACACGACCCCCAAATTAAAAATCAAGTTAAGGTTCCTAGATCATGTTCCCCCTGGAGCTTGAATCTCTGCTGGTGGTGAGCAGCGGCGTTGGGTTATGACAATCTGGTGACAGAAAAGGTGTTGGGAGGGGAAAGGTAAGTTGACGATGATAATGATATCAGTGCTGGCGATCATGACAGCGGTGGTGATGGTGATACTGTGACAACCGTGATCAAGCTGATGGGGTGGCTGGAGTGTAATGATGGCAGATGGCAGTGGTGATGTGACAGTGACAGTGCTGATGGTATGACAGGGATGGTGTTAGCTGCAGTGACTCTGAGGGTGCCGGTGGCAGTCATGCTGGAGATGTGATGATTTTGGTTGAGCTCTGCCATCTGCTCAAGGAATACGTGGGGGTGGGGATGGGGGTGGGGGGGGAGGAAATGGCACAAGTATTTACACTCACATCCAAGGCCACACAGCTTATAAGTGGCAGAACCTGGTTTTAATCCTGGGTAGTCCAGCTCCAGAGTCCGTGCTCTGCTGCTTCGGACACTAAACTAACTGGTTTCAGGCACCCAGCACAGTGCCTGGCATAGGAGGTGCCCAGTACACGTCTTCTTGGTAACCGCTGAGCTGGCAGGGGTGTAGCTCCAGGTCTGAGGCCTCAGGGAGGTGTGATCTTACAGCCCCCGACCTGCCGGCGAGAAGCGGCCCAGCCACCCCAGAGACGGGAACTTACCCACGTGGAGGTGCAGGTCTCCGCTGGGCTTCTGCCGAGAAGCTTGTGAGGTAGAGGCGCGGGTGGGTAGAGAGCCCTTGGGGCCAGCCCTGAGCCTGGGCCGCGCTCGCCCGCTGAGGGGCTGCCCGGCCCCACCAAGGCCCACTTCCCTGGCAGCGCTGACCGTGGCGGTGACTCGGCCTGGCCTGGAGACCATCTCCTCGTGGGCGAGTGTCTGTGCGGGCCTGGGTCTGTGGCGCCCTCGCATTCAGGGGGCAGTTCCCTACCCAGGGGGTGGGGGGTGAGAGGAGACAGCTCGAGTCTCAGAGACCCACGGGGGAGAGGGCCTGTCTGGGGGCCAGGTGGGCTCGGGGCCGAGGCCAGTGGCTCTCGGGCAGGTGAATGTTGCCGGGGAGATGAGTCGCTTTTGGTTAGTGAGTGTTTTGGGGCGAGTGGTGGGCGGCTGCCTGCTTCTTTGCTCGGGGACCATGGCCTCCTTGGGGACACGGCCTTGGAGCTCAGGGCCGAGCCTGTGTCCTTCTCCGTGGGGCACGGTGGGGCCGGTCCCAGCCGGGGGCGGCACAGGATGCTTTGGCTGGACATGAAGCAGCTGCCGGCTGCCAAGCGCTCGGCTTCTGAGACTGGGCTGCTCCTGGTGGCCTGGTTGCCAGAGGTGGCATCTGGGGGCTGGGGGCCCTGAACAGGTGAGGAGTCTGCCGGCAGCGTGGCGGGCGGGCCGGGCGGGGGTGCCTCCGAGGACGGTCCTGATGGCTCATCCTGGCTCTCTTCCTCGTCTTCATCCTCATCTTCGTCCAGGTCCGAGTCTGAGTCCGAGTCGTCCAGGTCTGAAAACTGGTGCTCCGCCACCGCCTCTGTGCCCTCTCGCCCTTCCGAGTCCTGGAACGGGTCATCGCTTGTTCCTGAGGGGCAGACACAGGAGACCCGAGGTCAGGCTGCTCTGCTCTAGGCCCCAGAGTCCCAGTCTGCAAACTGGGCCTGACAGCCACGGCAGTGGCACAAGATAGTTGAGAGGATGGGAACGCTTTGTAAATAACCACAGCAAAAATTACCTTGTATCTACCATGTGCCGGGTTCAGTTCTAGGGCCTGCATGTGTTAATTCACTTAGTCCTCAAATAATCCCGCCGGGTCGGCACTATTCTTATCTTCGCGTTACAGATGGGGAACCAAGGTGAGAGAGTTGAAGTCACTTGTCCAGGTAAGGTAAGTAGTAGGGCTGGGATTGAACCATAGCAAACAAGATAGGTCTTTTCTTTGTTTTTTTTTTTCATTAGTATTTCAGTGCTGGCTCCACCATGAGCAAGTTAAGTGACCCTGTTGTGCCTCAGTCTCCCCCTCTGTCAAATGAACTTGACAGTCTCACCTCACAGGGTTTGCTAGGTGGAGGAAACACACTCCCGACACACAGCAAGGACTCAAATAATTATAGTCACTCTTAATACATCCATGAAGAAATCTATTACTCTGGGACACAGCAGCCTTGCTGGCCAGTCCAGCAGCACTGGGCATGGTCAGTTTACATACACGTCTGCCACTGCGGCTAGGCTGCTGCTGGCTGATACAATGGTATCTGGCAGGTGGCAGGCCCTGGCCTCTCTGGGGGTTTGGCTAGGCTGGCCTCAGGCTGGCTGCAGAGCAGGGCCTCATCCCAGCCACTCATGTCCAGAGAAGGTACTGTCTTTGCAGAACCCTTGGTGCTCCCAGCTGGGGGGTAATGGAGCTCTGAAATATCAGCCTCCTGGTCTGGCTTTTGGTGGGGCAGCCCAACCAGCTGGGTCACCGCTAACAGGACACAGGCCTAGTTTGGGGATCTATGAAATCGGCAGCAATCAGGACTCCAGGGGGAGCTCCGCTAACATCTAGTCCACCTGGCAGGCTCCTGAGGGTTTGGGTCCTGCTGGCCCAACACTCAGCTCATGTCAGTACCCACTCAACTACTGACCAGGAGAGCTGGACACACAAGCTGACTCAGGCCACTGGTGCAAACAGGCTTCTGGACTCCACCATGCAGAGCTGCCCTGGGGGTAGAAAGCCCAGCACTTGTGCTTCCCAACAGCTCAACACACAGCAGTAAGATGCATGCAGTGGATGACAGTCGGCATTCAAGAGGATGTAGGTCAAAAACTATGGGGTGGAGCTGGAGCTGGCAGGTGAAGAGAGGGCCATGGGGCCAAGGGCATGGCCTCCTGGCAGCCAGGAGCAGAACAGTGAGAGTGGGGAAGGGACTGGGGATTGGTAAAGGAGTAGGGATGGCGAGGGGGTGCAAAACATCTCTAAGTTTTGCCCCATGCATTTACTTTCCTGCCTAAGACTTTAGCGGGGGGCCCCGGAGCTCACCTCGCCTCACCTCTCCTTTACATGTGGAGAAATCTAGGCCCAGAGCAGGCAAGTGCTTCCCCAACATCACCCAGAGAGTCCAGGACTAAGGTTTACAACCCTTGCATTGTGACACTGCCAGTTTAAAAATGTTTTTATGCGTTGAGAAGCAGGAAATGGTCTGGGTTTGAACCTTAGTTCCACCCCTTCCTTGCTGTATAATGTTGAATAATTTAGTTTTTCTCTCTGTATTCACTTTCCTTGTCTGTAAAATGTGAGTAAGACTAATAAAAGCCACCTCATGAAGCTGTTGGGAGGATCTTGAGGGTCTGACACCTAGTAAGTACCCAATAAACCTTAGCTATTCTCATCCCAAGTACCTCACAACCTCAGCAGACAGGCAGCAATGAGAGCATCTCATCTTGCGGTTGAAAGTCAGAGGGGTGGTGCTACTAGTCAGAGTCCTGATATTCACCAGCAAGGATCCTAATGTCCCTTTTTACAGATGAGGAAGTTGATGGGCAGAGAGGGCCGGTGGCCTGCCCCAGGGACCCAGCAGGAGTGATGGAAGCCAAGGGTCCCTTGCCCAGCACAGGGTTCGGAAAGCCCCCCACATCTGGACTCGCTCAGGGCTCTATGGGATGCCCCAGCCGGACGGCCCATTCCCAACGCCCCTCACGGTCAAGGCTCCACAAAGCTCCGCCTTTCTGTGGCCTGGGACCGGAGGAACGAAGCGCGCTGGGGCGCCGAGGGGGTCCGGCCACACGGTGGCGCTGGTGCTCAACCTCCTCAACCTCAGGGGCGGGGCTGCGGCGCCCGCCCGGCCGCCCGTAGACAATCTTTCCTAAGCCGTGCTCCCAACCGTCACTTCGCGACTAACAGACAAGCTCCTCCCCGAGCCCTCCTCATCGCAGGAAGTGGCAACTCCATCCTTCCAGTTTCTTAGGCCATAAACCTCGGAGTCATCCTTGGCTATTTTTTCCCCTCATGCTTCCCCGCCCCCCGCCCCACTACGTCAGCAAACCACTTCGGCTCTACTTGCGGAATGTATCCAGAATCCGACCACGTCTCCCCACCTCCCTCGGCCCACCCAAGTCCAACACATGCTCAGCCTGGATCACTGCCTCCAGCCGCGCCCCCTACCGGCCATCCTCTGCATACAGAGTCAGGGAACGGCAGAGGGCGTTGCTCCACCAGGCGGCCAAGTCCATCCCTTGGCCTTCACAGCCACGGCTCTCTCAGACTTCATCTCCCCCGGACTCTGGCCCTCAGGGGCTCTGCTCCGGCTGTTCCCTTTGCAGGGAGAGCCCTTCTCCAGGCCCCACTTGGCTTCCGGACATGTCCTCTGTTCACACCACTGAACAGAGAGGCCACTCCCCACGCTTCCCAGCCCCTCACGGATGTCTTGCTTCATACTCATCACCCTTGCCCTATTCCACATTTGTTCATTGCCCAGCTCCCCTCTAGAATGCAGGCTTCCCGACGGCAGGAACTATGTTTTATTCATTGCATAATCTCTAGCACCTAGAACAGGTCTTAGAACGGGTCTGGTGCTCAGTAATTATTTCTGGAATGAATGCATTGATTTCATCCTCAAATAAGGTCATCCCTTTTGGCCTCATTGGGAAAATGAAGCTGGGAGAGGGGCAGGGACAGCTCAGGGTCCCTCAGTGGACCCCCGGTGCAGTGCTAGTCAGAACGCCCACCTCCCACCCAGGGAGGGCTCTGGGCTTGGGTGCAGCTGCCCCATCCAGCCCGCCGGGCACTGCAGCCAGCGTTTCTGTCTGACCTTGGGCAACTGCCTTTACCTGTTTGAGCTTTGCTAAATGTCTTCAACTGAAAACGGGGCAACGCAAGTTTCTACCACAGTTACGAGGACTCAGTGAGACATCTGTAAATGGCCTGATGTGCCTTTTTGATAAGAATGGTAACCCCACATCCTCATTTTCAGGGGTACAGCCCCAAGTTCACTGTGTTCTGTTCAATAAAGGTGATTTATTTCACCTAAAAGGAAATGCGACCTAACTGTTTTGTGAGATTGTAGATACATTCCCAAATCAGAAAAACAACAAAAACAAACGAGACACAGACACACACACCTCTCCTTGTCACACTGTAATTCTTGATTCTGATTTTAGGGAATCTGGCCAAAGGTTTGCCCAGTGCAGGAGGAGTACCTCTGGCCGCTCATCTACCTGCCAAAAAAGCCCCTCTGGCCTCCTCCCTGGATGCTGAGGCTGGGCAGGGCGCAGCCACACACACTGCCTTGTCTTCTCAGAAACTGGCTGTAATGTGGCTCTAATCTTGCTAACGGGGGACTGAGGTCAGGGTGCGGTGCTGGGATAGGGGATGGGATTGGGAAGTGACATGGGGCTGTCAGGTCTGTCTGAAAACCTCTAGCTCTAAAAGGCCCGGGCGTCAGGCTCATGCCCAGAGTGTGTAAGTGTGAGTGTGGGTGTGTACCTCACAGCGTCACTGTGAGAATTTGCCAAGATAATCATGGCACGTGTCTAGAGCATGCCTGACACAGAGTGGGTGCTCAATCAATGTTGACTGTAATTACTCATGTGCTAATGTATTCACCATACATTCACTGAGCACCCACGGGGTGCCGGGCGCTCCACCTGCCTGGCAGACCTTAATGCACCACAGCTACGGCTCCCAGCACGCACTGTAAAAGTCTAGGGGGTGGGGGCGGTCATCCTGTGAATTTAACCCCTGTCGCCCTGCAGTTGGGAAAACTAGAGGGCAGGGCACAGAAGAGGGAGAGGAGGCAGAAAGCAAGGGGAGGGCAAGGGGGGGACAGGAGGAGAAGGGGGAGGCGGGAGTTGGCAGTTCATTACCTTCTTCGGCTTCCAGCTCCTCCAGCACCCCCGTCTCTTGGCACTTTTTGCTGTGGGCCTTCGACTTCATATGCTTAGTCAGATTCCCTGGAAAGGAATGAGAACAGACTCAGGTTCGGCTGGAGGGCATGGGCCCAGGGCGGCGCCTGGCTGGCAGGTGCTGGGACGTCCCTCTGCCCAGGTGCTCAGGTGGGATGCGCAGCCACAGACCCCGTGCAGGATGGCACTGAGGAGCTGGGGGAGGGTGGGGGAGGGGTGTGAGGGGACAAAGGGTAGAATGAAGAAGTGAGATGCTGATTAAAAAGACAAACAAAAAAGAAATTAAAAGACAAGTCATGTGCAATAAGTTTTTCCTGCCTTTAACTCTGGGCCCAGGAGCTGGTGACACTCATCAGACAGGATTCCCGGCCATCTCAAATACCGGGATGAGATCAGGGCTCCCATTAACCCAGCATGGGGGCTGGGTGCTGAAGATGCCCTTCTGGCTGAGGACACTGTTAGGGCAGCCCACAGGGAAGAATCTTAGGGTTTGGGAAGAGGAACCAGGACAAAGCTACTGTTAGATATGGAGAGAGGGCAGAAGGTGTAGAGAAATCTGCTAGATCCGGACCTGGGGGCCACAAGGCTGGGGCCCAAGTCCTGACTTCCTTAAAGAGTCACATCCCCTTCCTGGACCTCCAAGGTCACTGCCGTGCAGACACGGGCGGGGTTGGTGGTGCGTGCAGGGAAGGCCGAACTAAGGCTCTGCCCCTCCCCAAGCCTATGAAGCCCTCGGGGTGTGGCTGACTCTGTCCCCAGTGGGCTGAAGAGCAGAGGTGGCCGCTCTGTGGAATCAGGGGAAAGATAGAGACACCAATTCTCCCCCACGTGCGCACAGCACTTCACAGGCCACAAAGCCCTGTGGGCAGGCACGTTCTATGAAGGCGCAGCAGAGGGCCTCCAGCCTGCCCCAGAAGGATGCAGGCCAGATGCCTCAGGATGCTCCTTTGGGCTCAGCAATCACCTCCAAACTGTGATGTGCTTACATCACACAGTCTACATCTGTAGACTGCTGAATTTCCATATGGTAGTTCATACAATAAATTGTAAATTCCTTGAGTCAGGTGCTCTGTCTCACTAATCTTATCAGTGAGCGAGTTTGAGCAGATAGATGGAAGAGAGAAGAACGGACTCCAAGAACAGACACATAGAGAGATGGATGGATGGATGGATGGATAAGTGGATAAGAGGAAATATGGAGTGCTGAACAGGATGAGCAGGAAGGAGCTGGACAGATGGATGGGATACTGGATGAGTAGATAAGCAGATGGATAGACAGATGGAGGATAAAAATAAATGGAAGGATAGATGGAAAATGGATCAATAAACATATGAGAGGATGGAGAATGGGAGAGGAGGAGACATGGGTGAGTGGGAGAATAGCTGGCTGGATGCAGCACACACAAATGCATGGGAGGACAAACAGACAGGAGGATAAAAGAATGGGCAGGTGAATGGAAGGATGGATTGGTGGGAGGGCGAATGGGAGAGGTGGAGGAACAGATGAAAAAATAAATGGGAAGATAAATGGATAGGAAGACAAACTATTCAGATGAGAGGATGGGAGGAATGGATAAACAGGAGGATAGATGGGTGAATAGGGAGAGAGGGCCCATGGATGAACCAAAGGGTGCTTCTTAATCATTCTGAGAATTTTAAGGAACCTTAGGGTTTTGCTGAGAGGGTAAAGGGAACCTTAAGCTGAGATTGCCTGAGGTGTGCAGGCCTAGGGCGGCAAGGATGGAGAGAAGCTGTTTCTTTCCTCTTTCCTTCCCTTAGTCCTAGTCTGTGACTCCATCCTTCCCAAGTCAGATTTTCTTCCTTTAACTAGACAGAAACCTGGATCTTCTATTCCTGGCCAAACGGAGAGCACAGCCATAACATCCAGAGTCATTCCAGGGCCAGAGCGTCCCCAACATTCCCTGTCCCACATTGTGGGCCTCTGCCCTCACTGTTGTGAGCAGGATAAGCCTGAGCAGGACGTCAAGGGGGTGGTAAAGGCATCTGGGGTCTTCCACGGGCCAGAGAAACTGAATATCCTCTGAGGTTCTGAGACCAGCCTGCCATCCCCTGACTATCCCAGACCCCAGGGGACTATGCACACTGCTCATTCTGGCTATGACGTTATTGTTGTACCTGTTCTGCCTGGAAGGTTCGGGTCTCTACTCAACCAAGTTAGATGCTGAGCACACAATGGGTGCGTAATAACCATGAGCGGGAAATGCTCTTCTCATCCCAGAAGCAAAGTATTGGAAGGAACCTCACAGACCATGTAATCCACGCCCACCAGGCCCAGGGTCTTCCTGCTTCTGTTCTAACTCCCGGCCCTGGTGCTGATGATGCCATTAGACGAGATGATCAGGTGACGCTATGCTGTGGGAGGGCTCCCATTCACCAACACAACGAACCAACCAGTCAAAGCCACACTGCTGGCTAGTGCAGAGCCCCACGTGGAACCAGGTCTCAGGACTCCAGAGACTTGGCTCGCTCCACTCTGGCAGAACAGAACCAGCATGTGTAGGAGCTTGATGATGGCCTTGGGTTTGAGTCTGGGCTCTTCCACCTGCTAGCTGTGTGCTCCTGGGCAAGTTTCTTAACCTTCTGAGCCCCAGTTTCTGCAACTGTAAAGTAATACCTACCTCTCGGGGACGCTGGGAGGAGCATGGAGAGTGACAGCAGAGTGTGCCTGGCAGACAGCAGATGCCCACCACGTGGAACCTCCTTCCTTCCCACACTGTGTGCCCCCCTGCACCAAGTAATCGCTCTTTACTGAGCACCCGGGGGACTCTGCCACAGTCACGGGGGCGAGGAGGAGAGAGATGCTGAGATGATGCTCGTGTTGTAGCTGGCTTTACCAGTCAGTCTGGGCTCAGGAACCCCCAGGAGAAGGCATCGGGCAGGCCCTGGACGCCAGCTTCTCCTCTGGCCCTGCTCTTGGAGGCTGCAGGGAGGAGGTGGGAGTCTGAGTGGCTGCCCAGATAGGCCACGGGGTTACAGGACCGGATGCGCAGCCCCGAGTGTTATCCGGCGCCCTCTTTGGTTTCCCCTCCGTGGGCCTACCTCCCCCTCTGTGAATTGAGGGAGGTGTACCAAATGACCTCAGGTGTCTTTCTTTGGCCTGGACACCATTTCCTTGTCAAGGGTCAAAGCCTGGGCTTGCCAAGCAGAGTTCACAGCTTCTCACCATCGTCCCAGCCCCCCACCAAAACCCCGACAATCCTGGAATGAAGGAGGAAAGGCAAGTGGATGGAAAACGATGGGTGTCTGGAACAGAGGCGGACCCCATCAGCCGGTGACCCTGCCCCATTCAGCTTTGGGCTTTGACCAACCACCCTCCCTCGGTCCCTGAGGCTTGCCCCAAACTGTCAGCTCTGTCCCGAGGCGATCGGTGCAACGGCCTGTACCCAGCACAGCCACTCTGCTGGCCTCTGGGAACCTTCTGAGAAGATGACATGGGACCCCAGACCCGCACAGGGACATCCCAGTGGGCCTTTCCTGGCCGCACCCACCGAGACAACCCCTTGCTAGCGCCCAGGGGCCGGAGCTGCTGCCACGATGTCTAACACAGAGACAGAGACACAGACAGGCAGACGGAGACAGACAGGAAGGGCTCCCAGGCTGGGTGCAGCCAGGTGGTGGGGACGGAGGGCCCTGAGGACCACCTGACCCAGCTTCATCTCTCATGCAGCCTGGCTGGGCCCGAGCCCGAGGATGAGGGGAGGGAGGAGATGGAAGCAGCTCCATCTGCTATGGAGGCAGGAGCCCTGACAGGAGGGGACCTTTGGCCTCTGGGCTGGTGGCTGAAGGGTCCATGACTCCAGGGAGAAACAGGAGTGTCAGTATCCTGCGGCTTCCCTGCTCCCCGCCTTGTTCCGAGAGAGCCAAGAGGGAGCTGGCTCTGCTTCCACCTGCCACCACCCTTACTGGCCCCCCTCTAAGTCCCAGAGGTTGACATTCCAGGATTTCGGATGCGCTCACTGCTCCGGCTCTGGAAGGTGTCATCTTCCAGAAGCATCTAGGAGCATTTGCAGAGGGCTCAGCCCTCCCCGCATCACAGGGTGAGAGCAAACCCTCCTGGGCGGGGCCTTCAGGGCTCCACCCCAGGCTCTGCCCCCAGGGCACTCAGAGGGCCTGCAGACCCTCCCCTCATGTTTAGGAGCTCTGGACCCTCCAGGGCTGTGTGCTGGCTCAGAGGGACCTGGGGAGGGACGGCAGATAGCTCGGCATGTGGCTTCCAATGCAGGAATCTCCTGGAAAAGGGATGTTCCTGCCAGGGACTCTCTCAGATCTGACAGAAAAAGACCAGGCCTTTCTTCTCAATAAAGCCAGAGGGAATTGAATAGGGATTGCTCTGGGAGACTGCTCTGGCTGGGAACTCAGCCCCATGGGGCTTTCCAGTCTCACGTGGCAGGATGACGGTTCTCCACGGTGGTGGGAAGCTCTTCATGGCCCTGGGCTGGGAGGCATTCTCAGGACCGGGCTCTTCATGCTGAGAACAGAATGGTGTGGTCCCCTGGGCACACCCTGGGAATAGGGCCAGCAGTTGTGATCCACTCTGGAGGCCACCTGCTTGGCCACCTGATTTTGCCACTCCTTCCAGACAAGGGGGCAACTGCTCACAGAGAGGAAGGTGGTGGGGGTGATGCCCAGGAGGCAGGGGTCCTGGCTTATAGTTACAGCTCCGGCTTTAACAGTCATTTCTGTTTTGAGGGACCCATTTTCTGCACCGTCAAGTGGGGCTTGGACAAAAAGCTTTTTGGTGTTCAGGGTCAAAGGCCGTTATTTGAACTGTTGGTGGATTATTCCCATCTCTCTCCACCATAAAGTCCCAACTGGCCGCCTAAGGCCAGAGAAAGTGGGGTTGTAGGGGGCGTGTGTGGGACAGAGCCCACGATCAGGACCGAGGCATGCTAGGTGAGCTGTCCTGGACATGGCAGGGCTCCAGGCCTATCGGTTCTCTCTGAATGCCCTTTGGAATGCTGCTGATGAGACACCAAGAAAGAACAGGGCCAGGGCGAGGAAGGAGGATGATCACCTCTACTCAAACCAAAACCCTGGTGGGAAAGTTTGAGCTCCAGTTGAGAATGATGGTGAGAGGACAAAGGAGGGCAGCCTAACGGGGTCAGGAGACCAGAGATGGGCACCCGGTCAGAGAGGGGGCCATGAGCGAGGGGATGAGATAAACTGCCCCCCGACCTAGCACCAAGAGAACGGAAGGGGCCAGCAAGAGGAGGGGGAAGTAAGGAAGGCTCAAAGACCCGGAGGGGCCCTCCTCAGAGCCACTGCCCACCGCTCTTTCTGGGAGCAGCTTTACCAACAAAAGGAAGGTCAACAGGCGTCAAATCTCTCCAGTTCCATCTACTGAAAAACCACGTGGCTCTGGTGGGGGCTGGTGTGGAGGCCCCCAACTTGCCCAAAGGAGAAGGCAGGACCCTCGTGCCCAGCCCTGAGCCAGGAAACTGCGAAGCACGAGAGGCTGAAGCCACCAGGGGTTCGAGAGCCCCAGGCTTCCCTCTGAGGCACCTCAGTCTGCTCAGCTACCAGGAAGGAAGAAGCAGGTTGTGATGCCTTTCCTGCCTGCCCTGTGGGAGCAGCCAATGGAAGGAGCAGAGAAGAGCTCGGTCCACGTCTCGTGGACACAGCCTCACTGGTCCACACCCGGGTCCTGGGTGGCTGCAGTGGCCCTGGCCACCTCCATCACCCATCACAGCGCTCTGGTTGCGTACCCTCACCGGCCAGTCTTCCTTCCTTTCACAGGTGACTGCCAGAGCCTGAGCTGACCCTGCTGTGCAGTGTCGGGGGCAGGAATGACAGGGCTGCCGTTCGGGGGTCAGGGAGAGCCCGGCCCTGTGTCAAGAGGTGCAGAGAAGCTGGACGGAGCAGGAACGTGGTCTGAGTGGTGAGGCGGGGTGGAGGCAGGGGCAAAGTGTGGCATGAGAGGTGACCATGCGAGTGTGTTAAGTGGCTCGGGGTGGAATGGATTTCCAAACTCAAGAGCGGCAGTGACCAGTGTGGATGCTGGAGCTCATCAGGTCGGTGGATAAAGGGCTAAGGAGACATGCAGAAGGAAGGGGTGATGAGATCAAATACAAAACTGGGAACTGTGTGCGAGAGTGCCACCGCCTGGCCGTGGTGGGAATCGCACGGGTGGAGGGTGGAGGGGCCGGCGTGGGATCCAAAAGAACGGGCAGGGCAGCCGAGGGGTGCCACTGCCCAGTCTGGAGGCGGCTTCTCTGTCACTGGGGAGCCCAGGAATCGGGGGTGCCCAGGCCCCAGGCAGAGAGGTCCGGGCCCCGGGCTCTGTGCTGGGGCTCCCAGAGGGGAGCTCCCTGCAGCGGGCAGGGCCAGTGCCCCGCTGACCGTCTCTTACCTTTGGTTTTAAAAGCAAAGTGACAGTGCTTGCACACATAGGGCCGGACGTCAGTGTGGGTGCGGATGTGTTTCTTCAGCATGCTGGGCTTCTTGCAGCGAATTCCACACTCCTCACAAACATATTTCCCTCGGCCGCGGCCTCGCACATATACATACTCTTCGTTTGATTTGTACCTATGAGCAACAGGCGTCATAATGGTAAAGGAACAAAAGAGTAGGAGAAGAGGCAGGTTCCCACCTCAGAAGATGCGCGCGCTTCCTGGCTGCATCCAGCCCTTAGGGGCATCGGGAGAGGCGGACGCGGAGCAGAGAGGACCACGGGTGGGGGGATCCGCCACGGAGCCCTGCACCTGCCCTGCCCTCACACAGGGGGGGCTGCCCCCTTCTCTCCCTCGGAGGCGGCAGACCCTGGCGCTCCCTGCCAGGAGGGAAGCCGCAGGGGCACAGAGGGCCTCTGGTCCAGACCCGGCCCCGGTGCCGGCTTCTGCTCCCAAAGAGCAGCCGCTCTGGGCCACCGTGTAACAAAGAGAGTAAAACAGATAACGAACGACCACAGCTCTGGCAGCCACCATTGACGGAGTGCTCACTCTGTGTTGGGCACTTTGCCCGAATTCAATCACAGTCTCCACGAAGAGCCCTTAAGGGCCTGAAGCTCCCACAGCCAGAAAGGGACAGAACTTGAGCTGAACCTGCCAGCCCCAGAGCCTGTGCATACCCCACGAGGGGCGACGCGCTGAAACAGTCTGCTAGGAGGCCACCCAGACACGCGTGTGAGGGGAGGGACGAGGGCTTCATCATTTCCCAGTGTTCAGAGTCTGGAAACCAGGGGCCCTGCACTCTCTCCCCCGTCCCACCTCCAGTCGAGCCGGAAGCTCTCAGGACCCAGATTCCAGCCACCTGGCCTCTCAGGCGGCCTCCAGGAATCACTTGGGGTCATAGCGGGAAGTGCCAATAGCTTTCAGGAGCCTCCTGGGGTGGCTGGCCCACCCGCTGGGCCTCAGCACCACTGTGCTCTCTTGGCCCAGAATCAGAATGTTCTTATTTCCACTCGGAAGGAACCCACGAGTCTCACAGGCTCACTTGATACCCTCCTTGTCAAAATGCCACGCTGGTCTAATGCTGTGGATGTGTGAGTGTCTCGATGGGGACATGGAAGGCTGCAACGGGGTCCAGGGAGGGGATCCTGGCATAATTCCAGGAGAAGAGCTTTCTGACTCATGAGGCCTGGGGATCTGAAGGCGCGGGTGCCTTGGGGGAGGTGTGGTCTCTTGGCCTGCAGGAGGCCTGCCTGTGCCCACACTCATCCCGCACATCACCCCCTGGCCAGGAGTTGGCACCCAAACTCGGGGGTGGGGTGGTGCAGAGAGGCAGGAAGGGGCTCGGGGGGAGGTGAGGACATGACAGCGGCTGGGACTCAGTCCTGCTCCGCTGGGGCCATCAGCTTACAGATGAGAGGACGCCACAAGGATGGGCTTGCAGGAGGGAACTCTGAGGGAGGGAGCTGGCAGGCAGCGGCACAGCGATCACCAACACACATACACACACACTCACACATACTCACACCACCTCCCCACTCTCACGCAAACACATGCACTCACACTCACACACTGACACACACACTGGCACACTCACCCCCACCCACACAGTGACACACACACACTCTCTCTCTCTCTCACATACACACACACGCGTGTGCCCGCGCACTCACGCACGGACTGCTCTCCAAGAGTACAAGTGGATCGCCTCAGCTTTGGCCAACTGGTGCCTCTCAAGTTGTCTAAAACCACCCTTTCTTCCTATTACGGGTCCCGATGGGCCAGTTTTAGGCGTCCAGTCCTCAGGCTGGGAGGCGTGGAAGGTCATGGGGGGCTAAGGGGAGAGGGACTCATTTTGCTCTTAGGGAGACCACCCTGGGGACAAGCAGGGGGTGTCTTGCCTCCCCATGCCAGCAGTTCACCCTCACGCAGCACGCACCCCAGACCTCAACCAGCTACCTGGGTTTTAATTCCTAGGTCCCTTTGTCCCCCTGGGACCCAGTCTGAGCTGGGGGGCCCTTTTCCCATCTGGAGAAGAAAGAAGCGAGAATGGCTTGGTTTCCCCTTGGCACTGGACACCAACCTCCACTTGGCTCTGCTTGGCACGTCCATGACAGCCCCCCACTTCCAACGATGATGGTGCCGTCGGGGTCCCCCTTCCTTCACCCCCTCCTACCCAGGCCCACAGCCACCCTGACTTCTACCACACGTGGGATTCTCCCTGTGCTTAAGCCAATTCAGAAGAAGGCATTAGAGTCCGTCTACCTTGGCTGTTCTCAGCCCCTTTGTTCTCCTTCCATAGCGAGCTTAAACCACCTGCGGTCGCCTGAATGGAGACACACACACACAGAGAAAGGACTCTGCTTGACCCTCTATGGGTGGTGCCCTGACTTGGGGGTGGGGTGGGGAGGCATGTATGTAACCCCAGATACCACTTTGTCACACTCCATGGAAGGTGCACAATCTGCTGGGTAGCACAAAGGAGGAGCCTGGGCTGGAAGGGGCCAGAGAGGATGCTGAGAGACGGAGGCAGGAAGGGAGGACCCCAGGCAGGGACCCCAGAAGCAAAGGCACGGGTGCTAAGAGGCCTGGAGTGTTTGGTGGGCAGGACAGGCTGGATCACCATCGGCCTTGAATGCCATGCTAAGAAGCTGAGACTTGATCAAAGTTTTATTAAAGATAAACAAAGTCTAAAGAGAAGATGCTTCCTTGGCACCATGGGGAATGGTCCGGAAGAAGAGAGACTTAGAATCTGGGTACAAGGCACGTGTTCTAGGACAGAGATTCAAGTCCTTCTGGACGGAGAATCTACAGGCCTTGGTGGTCATCTGGATGATGCAGGGGCCACCATGAAGGAGTAACAAAGATCGAAAGTTTTCAGCTTGGCCAGCTCAAGTGGTACCATCCGTGGGCTTAGAGAGAAGCGATACAGGACCCTTGTCCTTAACTGCTGAGTGTGAGTTGAGGAAATGTCCAGTACACAGCTGGAAGTCCATGGGACTCAGGATGGGACATGTAGATTGGCACTGAGGCCCAGCGGGTGGGCCAGCTGCCCCAGGAGGCTCCTGAAAGCTATTGGCACTTCCCGCTATGACCCCAAGTGATCCCTGGAGGCCGCCTGAGAGGCCAGGCGGCTGGAATCTGGGTCCTGAGAGCTTCCGGCTCGGCTGGAGATAGGACGGGGGAGAGAGTGCAGGGCCCCTGGTTTCCAGACTCTGAGGACTGGGAAATGGTGAAGCCCTCGTCCCTCCCCTCACACGCGTGTCTGGGTGGCCTCCTAGCAGACTGTTTTAGCGCGTGTCACCCCTTGTGGGGGATGGACGGGCTTTGGGGCAGGTAGGTTCAGATCAAGAGAGTATGAAAACAGGAAGAGGGCAGTGAGAGGGCCCAGGAGGCACCCAAATGTAAGGGCGGGGGAAAGATGGCACTAAAAGCCATCCCCAAGCAGAGATCTCCTGGTAGAGAACCAGGAGAGAATGTGATTTGGGAGCCAGAGAAAAGAGGTTAGAGGAAGAGGTGCCAGGAGGGTCCAGGTTGTGGATATCTGGAGGAGGGTGGCCACTGGGGGTCCTGAGACTTGAAGAGAGTAGTCCTGGTTGGCCAGCCTGGAGCCTGTTGACCTCTCTGCTCCTTAAAGGCCACTGGGGTTGTACAGCTTTGCGGTTCCCAAAGGGCCAAGTCCAGGGACAGGTATGGGGCAGCTGTCCAGTGTGAGCTGGACCCTCTTCCCCTTCCCAGCTCACGGTCAGCCCCTCCAGCCTGTGCAAGGCCCCTCTCTATAAGGTCCCACCTCTTCCCCAGCAGCTTCAGGCCTCCGCCTTCGGACACATCTCACCAACACAGACGCAAAAAGCTCAATTCTCTCGGTACCAACCAACCCCAAAATCCCCCGGACCTCAGCCCGCTCCAGCGACCGCTCTGTCTGCTTCCCTTCTCAGCCCGAGTCTGGAAGGGGCCGTCACGCTGGCAGAGTCACACCTCCTCACTGCCCCAGCCCAGCTTCCCTGCTGACTGTTCCTGCCAACAACACAGGCTGCTAAATCCAAGTGGCAGAGGCGTTATTGCCCTGTTGCTCGCCCTCTGGAGACACCTGTTGGCTTGGTGACCGGGTCTCCTCCGCAAGTTCCTTCTCTGACCCCCGCCTCCCACGCTGGTGTTCCCCAGGCACCAACCTGCACTATTCTCCCCTCACACCTTCCCCCAGGTGAGCTTCCCCGCACATGCCTGACTTTCCACCTGGATGTGATGGCTCCCCTGTCTCTCTCTCCAGCTCTGACCCCTCTGCTCTACATCCAACTGCCCCCTCGGCATCTCCCTGGTGGTCTTTAGGCACCTCACAGCCCACGTGCCCTGAACCATGTTTCCATGTTCCCCCACCTGTACTACCGCCTCCTGGGTCCCCGCGTCAGTAAACGGCATGCGCATCCCATGGAGGCCAGGCCAGCGTCCCTGGTGCCTCTACTTCCGTCAGTCTTCATTGTCAATCCATCACCGCAGCCCGTCAATGCCGCATCCCACATATGCTCCAGGGAGGCCCACCTCCTTGCCACCACTAGCCCAGGCCACCATCCCCTCTCCTAACGCGCAGCATCCTTTCCTCACAAAACATCCAGAGGGGGCTCTCCCCAAATACACTCCTCCCAGCCCAGGGCCCACCATTCAGTGCTCCTCCCACTGCTCTCAGGATACAGCCCTGCCCCTCACTCAACGGGTGCAGAAGACCCCGGGGCACCACCTGGCCCAGTTACCTCTCCAGCTCTTCTCTTAACTGCACTTCCCCATCAACAACACTGAACATCATTCAGTGCCTCCGAGTCCCTTTCCTCTGGCCTTCTCCCTACCCCCTGCCCGCCCCTCCCACCACCTGCTACTGACCAGCTCCTCTTTCCTTTAGGGCTTCGCCAAAAGGCCCCTTCCTTCGGAGCCCTCTCCCACAGCCCTGGGCCTGGGGGTCCTGCCACTCCTCCTTCACGGTGCCTGTCAAGCTGTGTGTACTGTGTGGCCTCTCACAATGTAGCCACCATTAACCCCATGTGGAAGGCACATCTGCCTCATTCACTAGAGCATCCCCAGGGCCTAGCTCAGTGCCTGATACCCAGCAAGTGCTCGGTACTCATCGCTGCACAGAGGAAAGCCAAG